AACAAGGTCTTTTCAAATAGGGAAGGGTGGAGGGGATGAAGGGAGGGCAAGGGAAGGGGAAAAAAATAAGAACCAAGAGACTCATGTAATGATACAAGATCCCAATGATGAATGTAACTGTATTTTATACCTAAAATGTGCCAATAAAGTTAATGGGGGGGAAAAAAAAAAAGAACCATCTATCCTCTGGAATCCACTAAGATTCATTGTCTTTCCATCTCATTTGGGAGGGCAGGCACCACCTAGGACTTGTCCAGTCTCTTTAAGTACACATTTTGTTTTTCCCAACCTGGAAAGTATGTGGGGCCAGTGATCAGAGTCATATCTTCTCTTATTTTTACTTCCTAGAGTGCTAGGAACATTGCTTTCCACATAATAGAGACAAAATAAATATTTGAGGATATATTTTATTATGGATCTAAATAACAAAATTTATTTATTTGACTATTGATATCTGCTTGCCTATCCATATGGTCAAACCACCTACAGAATAAGACATGTTAACAGAAGAACATCCACTAAAAAAAAATAACCCTGGGAGATGAGAATATTTTTTAACCCAAGAGTACATCATTCATGTGATCCCAATCCTGTAGGAAAGACATGCACAAACATTGTAAAATTTACCTCTCAAATGTTCTGGAGAAGATCAGGCTATAAAGAAACAGGATGACACCATGGCTTCCTTCCCCTTTAAACTGTTTGGGAAACAAAAGAAAAGCACTTTTGTTTAAGAGCAATGTATGTGTGTATATTGTTGAGCATGAATTCCCAAGGTTCACAGTCTGGAGAAGTCCTCACCCCACCCACTTGTTGAGAGGACAAGTCTCTCCCTACCTCCTTACATCATCTTTTTCACTCTCTAGTGTACTCTCCTTCCTTGCATCATGCTTACCAATCATCCTCTTAGTCTTAACTTCTATTCTAAGGGTGGGTAGCTTCAGTAGACTATAAAGGACAGAAAGAGGTTGCTGCTTCCTACCTGCTTTGCTGCCTTCCTGCCTTCTGCCTGCCATGAAATGTTTCGCCTCTCTGATGCCCCTCTGCCATGCCAGCCTGATTTGGAGCCAGCCTATTATGGGCTGAAATGTCTACAAATTGTGAACCAAAATGAACCATTCCTCCTTTGACTTTGGGAATCAGGTAGTTTGTCTCAGCAACAAGGAAAGGTAATTAAGACAAGGAGTTTCTAGGGGATATTAGTTTCTGGGCCTTTTCCAGTTTCTAGATCATCCTTATCCTTTGGGTCATAGTTCCCCATAATCTAGCCTTTTCTTCCTCTGCCTTTCTCATCACATCTCCTTCTCTATTTTTCTTGCTACCTTCTTTCTCTTGTAAGGATTCCTATGATTAATTAGGCCCATCCTTATAATCCAGAGTAATCTCCCCATTTCAAGATCCCATACACAAAATTCCTCTTCCCAGGTGGGTTTCATATCCACAGGCTTCTGTGGTTAGGATGTGAATCACTTGGGCTACACAATTTATCTGATGGGTATAGCTGCCTTCTGCCTATCAGCTAATTGAGGATATGGGAGAATATAGGCCCAAGGTGGCAAGATGGAAAAAGCCCCAAATCCAATTTTTTATGTGGAATTTTCTAACATCCACTAATTCAAATATTAGGAAACACAACCCTGTGTGAACTAATGCTATAAATAATATATAGTACTGTATATATATTAGTGTCTTAGGGCTGTGATAACAATTACCAGAAATCCAAATGATTTTAAACAATCAGAATTTATTCTCTTAAGTGGTGGAGGCTAGAAGTCTGGAATCCAGGTTTCAGAGTGGGGCTATGCTCCCTCTGCAAGCTCTGAGGAAGACTCTTTATGCATATTCCCAGATTCTGCTGGTTGCAGACAATCCTTGGCATTCCTTGGCTTGTAGATGCATCATTCCAATGTCTGCCTTGGTTTTCCCATGCTATTCTTCCTGTCTCTCTCTATCCAAATTTTTCCTCTTATAAAGACACCAGCTGTTGGATTAGCCCATTCTAACTCAGTTTGACTTCATCTTAACTTGATTACATTTGTAAAAATCCTATTTTCAGATAAGATCACATTCCCAGGTACTTCAGGTTAGGACTTCAGCATATATTTTTGAGGGGACACAATTCAACAATTCAGCTGATTACATTAGGTCTCCTGCTCACAAGCAGCCCTCAGACCTAGCTTGAGATCTCTGCCTAAATAGGATGGGGACACATGACAGATGCATTTTGATAGTGAATGGGGTTTGGTTAAGGGATATTGATCACAACATGCACCCTCAGCTAGGGGTGATGCTCCTGAGAGGAATATATATGCCACTAAGTTACCCCTTACTCACCAAATGGAGCTAAACTTTCCCTGGTGAGACTAACGTGGCAGGCAGCTTGGGTTGGCTTGAAACAGATGGCTCTTATGCCAGCCTACCTGCAATTCAGAGTGCACTTCTGCTTGGGAACTTTATTATTTATCCCAGCTCTACTCAATCTTTGGATTAGCCTATGTGTAGCTCCAGCTCCCATCTCAACTATAGCTACACTTAAGAATCTCTTGCAGGTCTGGTTATTCTTCCTACTGAATCAGACACTCCCAGGTTTCAGTGGAAGAGATGGAAGACAAAGAGGGAGAGGCTTATCTTTTTTTGCCAAAAGGGTCTTCTCCTAAATGGATCCTTTATATATGCATAATTTCATTAAATGTCCTGTACTCACAACAAAGAATCCTTAAGCAGGTTCCTATCTTAACATTTCACGTCAAGGATATAAAATCTTTCATACAAGGTTCATTAGTTTCATATTGTTACTAAGACAAATTACCATAAATTTAATTGCTTAAATTGAGGCTGGAGGTGTAGGTCAGTAATAGATCAATAGATCATGTATAATACTTAGTATATGTGAGCCATGAGGTTCTGGATTCAATTTCTAGCCCAAAAAGGAAACCCAGAAAAAAGACATTTCAAAAAGCTTCAATAATATACATAGTATTGTCTTTTAGTTCTAGAGGTTAAAAGCCCAAAATAGGTCATATTGAGCTAAAATCAAGATGTCAGCCAGACAGTATTCTTTCTAGAGACTATAGGAAAGAATGTGTTTCCATGTTCTTTCTGCACAAGTAAGAAAGGCCCTCCCTCCATTCCCTGGTTTATGGCCCCCTCTTCCATATTCAAAGCCAGCAACAGCAAGTGATATTCTTCTTATCGCACATCCCTCTGACTTTCTCTGCTGCCTTTGCCTTCCACAATTTAGGGCCCTTCAGATTATATTGAGACCATCTGGATAATTCAGGCTCATCCCCTTATTTTAAAGTCGTCTGATTAGCAATCTATTTCTCCTTTGCCATGTAATGTAGCATATTCACAGTTCTTAAGGGAGAGTATGGACATCTTTGGGAATATCATTCTTCTGCCTGTCACACAAGTTAACAACAAATCCAAGAGAAGGTGGGGAGGTATGCCTGGGAAAAATTTGTTTAACCAAGATCATATAGCTGGTGTGTGGCTGAGAACTCATGCCCAGGTTTTCTGCTTCTGTAGCCTTTGAAAGCAATGAACTAGTGAGTTCCACTGATCATACTCCCCATCTCCATATACTCTAAAGTTGTATTGCTTCATGATTATCCTGCTAATTATCCTTTACTTTCACAGGTAGATTTCTGATTATTTAGAAAATCAGCTTTCATTTCTTTCTCTGCAGATGAGCCTTTTAAAAGCACCTTCCATTTTCTACCATTACTGCCTACTACTTTGTCCTCTCCCCAGTCTAGAGTGGGAAAGAATCAGTGCAGGAGTAGACATCATATGGAAAATGCTATTAGAAGAGGTGAAACAGGGCCAGATCTTTTCAGGCCAGAAGTCATTCACTTGAAGTTAGTGTGAATGGTTGTTCTGGCAGCTTAGACAAGGGCTTCAGCTTTCTACAATTTTTGTTTTTTATCCATTAGATGAGGCAAGACTCATTTAAGATCTTCAGTTCCCACAAAAGAAATCCTGGTATGTGCCCTCTAAAGTATTCTCTGGGGTTGATTAGCCAAGGAAAAAGAGGCATTTGTAACTGGGTCTCTGTGTGATCTGGCCTCTTTCTATGTTGTAGGGGGAGAGAGGCAGACTTCTTTCTCTTGTTCCACCCTTGCTTAGCCCTCAAAATGACCTGGTTTTCTTAACAAGCATCATTAGAAATACAGTTCATAAAAGAAAGAACATTCCTGTAAGATCAGTTCAACATAAAGGAATTATATCAACATTTAAACACTTACACATTGTAAATGATCATAGATGAATTTCTCAGTGGCCTCTCTCTCTGAAAATTCAAACAGCTGGAGCTATAAATCAGGAATAGAGATAAAAATCAAAAAGAAGATGAAAGGTACCTTTAAGAGATGTCAACTCACTGTTATTACCTCAAGGGAGTTTTTTGTTTCATTATAAAGTCACATTGCTAAGAACTGACATATTATCTTACACAAAGCCATGTAAAACATTCATGGTAAAATTGGGTGGCTACCAGCATCACTTTTATTTTCTTCAGTTTTTAAGTCACTGTGATATCTTAAGCCATGAAACCATAAACAGATTTTTTTCCCTGATAGGTACAGTTTAGCTGTCTTTAAGACAGTTGATATGGAAATGTAGTATGTGATGATTTCAGATATAGGATATTCTTTTTTTGGTATCAGGGATCGAATTTGGGTCCTTGCGCTTGTGGAGCAGGCGGTGGCACCACCGAGCCACACGCCCAGCCCTAATAGTTTACTGTTTTTGTTTTTGGTTTTTTGATACCAGGGATGGAACTCAGGACCTTGCACTTGCTTGGCATGGTGCCACTGAGCTAAATCCCTGGCAATAGTTTACTTTTCCTTTTTTTTTTTTGGTACCAGGGATCGAACTCGGGACCTTCCGCTTGCGAGGCAGGCAGCGGCATGACTGAGCTAAATCCCAGGCCAGAGATATAGGATATTCTTAATCATGGTGAATTCTGGAAGGAGAAATTCACATCAGAACTCTCTATTTTGGCTGCATGGATCACTGAAAGCCCCTGGTACTTGCCTGTTTGGAAGAGCTCTCTGACCACAGCAGATACTTCCAGGAGCGTCGATGTGGCTCTACCTCCATTTCCACCTACACAATCAGGCTTCATTTGCTCTTCATCTTCAGGGTAGGAGTGCACTTACTTGTTCAGTGAAATCATCCCTGGAGTAATCAGGAGTTGAGGTAATGTAAGTGTCCTCAGTGACAAGACAGATGGTGGCCTTCTGAGCTGCTCCTGTGTTCCATAGGATGCCAGCCAGTGCCAAAGCCAGGGCTTGCTCCTGCTCAGGCTTGCTCAGCTCACATAAACTGCAATGCAGGAGGCAGGGAAGGAAACCAGTGGAATGAACAGCCAGGTTCTGGGACCTCTATTTTTAAGTTTACTTCTGAACACAGTGGGTGTCTATTTGGTTCCTTCATCAACCTGCAACATGGGAGTGTCATCAGAGGGTTTGGTCCCCTTTGCTGTGACTGCAACTCTAGTCCTCATGGCAGGGAATACTTTGTCTTAGCAAACTTGGCCAGTCCCATCCTGTGCCATCTCACCCTAGCTAGTGCTGACGCTGTTCTCTGAAATGTACTCCAGCAGGGATCAGCTCAAGCTCTGTAGCACACTAACATGCCTTTTCCAAGCTCAACCCTAAATTATCCTGGCAGTTTAATCTCTCAGATATCCATCTTTCAAACCTTCTTCCCAGAAGGATCCCAGAACATTCTCTCTATGTTCTACCTCCATGCTTCTTCTCATTCACTTGTGCCCTTAGTGTTCATATCTGTCCTTTTCACTTAATCACAGCCTACACCTCACATAAGGTCTACTTTAAGTCACACTCACCTACACTCACCCAGCACTCACTGCATTCACTACTAAATATTCACTATA